TTTTATTTAAAATTCATGCTTGAAAAGTTAAAAAGTCAATATGTAATTATACCAAAAATGAACGAAAAGAGTAGTAAATTTTTTTTTACTTTTTTACTATGAATTACTCCCTTTATTCCAAAAAACTGTCATTTTTTATTTTTTCTCCAAATTAAGGATTTAAGGATAATTCATGTATTTACTTATATTACCATCAAAACAAGCTAAAAGATAAAGTGATACTTTTATGATAGTTTAATTAATTAAAATAAACGAATAATGATTTGGTTAAATTAAGAAAAAAATATTTATCTACCTTAAAATATAAAAATGACAATTTATTTAAAACAATCTGAAAGTCAAAATACAACAATTATTTTGGGACAAAAGAAGTATGAATTTTAGTACTACAATTTTTGTTTAAGCATATATCATTTTTTTATAGGTTGGAGGATTATAATTGTTTAGCAATATAAAATTGTGAATCCCTAATCTTGATCTTAAATTAAAAATTTTAAATTAATGAATACTAATTTAATCAAATTTTTGTTGGTTTGTGCACATATTATGGTGAAAAACTAAATCTAAAATATAGCAATAAAGTTAAACAATGAGGTAAAAATATTTATTCACCTAAATCATAGAAAACCAAAATTAATTTAAATAAATTTTGATTTTAAAAAACTATGTATTTCGGTTGAAGAGTGCATTTTCTATACCCTTGCCGCGTAAACAAATTACCAGAAGAAAATCGAAAAAATATTGAACAAACCTATATTTGGTGGGGGTCTATATCTCGCCTTCATAATCGACGGTGGCATTTCTTTTCGATTTCACGAGGACGCATTCCACATGGAGCTGAGCTGTAGACCCTCACTCCCATCCGTCTACAGTATCTGATGCTGGAAATAATTGTACATTGTCATCGGCCCAAACATTTTATCTCAGATTATTACAAAAGAAAAAAAAAATTTTTTCTAACAATTAAAATTATATTAATAATATTAATATCTATTTTAAAAAAAATATCAAGCACTGAACTCAAATTGAAATCAAATTGAAGAGTAAAGTCCTTTCACTTTACTTGTCAAATGAAAAATTTTTTTTATCTCTGATCAAACTGATGTCTCCACCACGCAGTCACATACTGGCATTTTCTGTTTTCTATGGGTCAATAATTGCTTTTCTGAACCGTTTTTCCTGCTTTTGCCAAAAGTTGTTTCCCGTTTACTGTACTGGACAAATGCAGTCAACTAAATGGATAGTTAAAAATTAATTAATTAATTAATTAGTTAATTAAATGTAAATAGTTCTTATTTTTTAATTTTAGTTAAATAACAAAAAAATTTAATAAATTAATGATTAGAAGATCAAAAACTAAAAATTAAATATATGACCGAAAATAAA